CAATGAGGATTCGACATGCCGATGCGTCATTGACTGTCTCGCGAACACCGGCCGATATGAGCGCTCTCGCTTCGATATTTCACGCCGATCCGCGAGAGAGATGCGGCACAACCTCGGCTACGGGTTTATTCTCGCGGAATTGAAAAATCGCACGATCCTTCTTTCATTATCGACGTCGGCCGGTTAAGAGGTGTATCGCGACACGGGCATGTTTCGAGAAGGGGATTCCGGGACGGTTTGTTAACACGTTAAATGCCGTGACGTGTCGTTGGTAGGATGGCCGACTCTTGATCGGTCCCTTAACAGTGGGGAATAGAAATACAGATCCGAATAGAAATACAGATCAATTCAACGAACGCAGGTAAGGCTTATTTATTATTATGTTAAGATCAAACAATCAATTGAACATAGTCTTCTATCGTGTTCTAATATAAGGAATCGGTTTATATATAAAACAGATTGATGAAATTCTTGAAATTACTATATAATGTTGTTGATAATCACTGTTTGCAGCCTCATGTCGATCTGTAATTCTAAATTTGATTGTGACTGTAAATTACAATCAAATTTTCATTCTCACAACTGAAACATTCGTTTGCCCGTATTTAAAGCAAATTTCGCCTCAGTCAACTAGACTTGGGCTGTCAATGCGCGGAATCGGTCGACGGCGACGAGAAAGATGAGAACAATTCTGACGACAACGGATTGCAAAAGGTTTGTAAGGAGCGTCTCTCAGACTGATTCGTAACGACGCGAACGAACGGCCGGTTATCGCGAGGAGTAACAAAGTCCGAGGCTCGCGTGGAATCGCTCGCGTATCAGCCGGAGGAAGTAACCCCCCCGCGAGCTATTTTTATAGCGCTTGGTCTCTCTCTTTCTGACCGGCAACATGCTGGAGCACTTGAAAAACACTTGTGCGCATTCCGTTACGTTTACGCAACGATCTCTGTGCGGAGCCGGCCGGGCAAAAGAACAAGCAGAAACGAAAGGCGGGACCCGCCTCTCTCGTCCGCGAGGGGCGCTCCTTCAATACCGGTGGTTTTTAATTTTCAAGTAGGTATGCGCGCCGCACGGTCATCCATCATTTTTTTTCTGCGACTTTAAGTACTTGGCGGTGCGTTCCGCTCGCCCGCTCGCGACTTCGTGAGAAGTCCATTCGAAGTTTCACCTCAGCTACCCCCGATCGATGTCTTCCACACAGGCGCTTAAGCACGTTCGCTTCTCTCTGTCTTATGAGTAATATTAATGAGTGAATGAATGAATAATTACTGACTTCTATTCTCGATGACACGGAGAATAAAAGAAAAAAGTGACGTCGAGCGAGTATTTTTTTCGCGGCTGAGCGAATGAGTGAGAAAGAGAGAGAGAGAATGAAAAGGGATACGCGAGAAATGATTAACTGCGCTCACAAAGAGCATGCATTCATCGGGCGGAAAGCCACCGGTTTAAAGCGTTAAAAAGTAATCCCGGTTCGCGTTACAGCGAGCGCTCGCATCGCGGCAAAAAAAATATGTTAGATTGAAGAAATTTTATCAGGCGGTTTTGAGTTGAGTAGTTTATCTCGATGCAGTTGACACATTCGCGTATATAAAATATTCCACTTTAAAAAGTTAATTCCGACGTCCGTTATTTTCGCCGTGATTAAACAGAACTTTGAAATACCTTTTCCTCGTCTCTCTTTTTCCTCTCCTCTCCTCTTTGCCCTTCGCGTTTCCCTTCCTCCTCCTCCCCGCCGCGCTACCGAGTGCCGCCTTACCCGTTTAATTTCCGGCACATCGCGTTGCCGGCGCAGCGACGAAAGTTTCCCACAATTCAGCAGAGATAAAGCATTTATTGAATCAGATAAAGTTTAATTTACCGTACTAACACGTACAAATACGACGGGAACGTCGCCGTCGACCGCCCCCGTTCTCGATAATCGAGAACTCCTATCCGCTGAATTTACCGTAAAACGTTTTTGCTCCGATCCGCTCGAATTTCGCGTGCTCTTACGATTGAAAAGAAAAGAAAAAAAAACCAACGCGGGCACGCGAACGAAAATGATTTTCGCTGAATCGACGAGAAGACTCGAAGACTCCTTGAAAAGTCAAACTTTATACGCTGTTAGCGTCCGGTCTTTCGTCGCTCGAGCGAGGAAAACTTGCTCACGGCGACGTTTTCAAACGGGGAAACGCGGAATCGGGCGACTGTGGCGGAGATTTCGAAGTTGTGTGTCGCCGGTAAGCGAATTACGCGCGGACATCGCGGCGGAGAGAGAGCTGTCGAATTCGAAAAAAAGCTCGCCAGGACGAAGGAAGCGAGGGTACGCGACAGAGAAAGCGAGACAGCGGAAAAGAGCGCGCACACTCGCCTCGCGTGACTGGTATCGACATCTCAAAATTGCAACGCTCGACGTCCATTGTCACCTATTTCCGCCTCCTTCGACTTTCGCGATAGTACGTACCTATTTTCGACAGGAGAAAACCGCAAGCCGGCCGGGACAGATCGAGGAGGTGGGAAGATAGAATATCTTGTCCCTGTCGAACGTCCGGAGACAAGCTGAAATTGAAGTAATATACAGCCCTCGCGCGCGCGCCGCGGTAAGGTGCGCCTTTAATACCCGCCCGGGGTAGGATGTTCCGCCGCTGGCAAAAAAATTGTTGACAGCATGCCGATAAAATACGTTTGCAGAGTTATTGCATTGCGGACGTTTCTCCGCGCGCGCAACGAAACGATCTTTCACGTCGCGAGGAGATCCGCCGTGGATCCCGCACAGATTACGCGTCGTCTCGTCTGCATTCGTCGTCCGGCGGTCTTAAGGAGATTGTAAGGCGACATAAGTTTGATAAGAGGTTTATTCTTTATAGCTGCACTGCGGCTACGTTGGAACGGAGATAGGACAGGCGAGTACTAACAGCAGAAATTTTCACAAATGCGAGAAGGTAAAGGAATAATGCGTCGATCAACATACGGTGCGTAGAAATGTAAATTAACGAATATGTGACTTAAAGCAATGACATCAAACGTTAATGTAATATAAATAGAAGTATTATAAAAGATATATCATAAATAAAAAATTCATGAAACGAGAGTTTTGTAATGTTTCCTAATTTCCATTTTTTATATTTTTTTAATTAAAAATAAAATTTCGACGAAAAACTACTATGATATTGAAAACTAATATACACAAACGTTATGTATACAAATTTTAGAATTACTTACCTTTTTTTTTTTCTTTTAGAAAATACAGCAATAAAGTTTGTAGTAATATGATTTATATAATTTATGTATGATATAACATATGTTATATAATTTATAATAATTCTCGAAAAATATTCACATGCATATATTTAAACACGTCGTACGCTTCTTTCTATTATCTGTGTATCTCTATTAGATCAATTGATGCATAAATAAAACATCGATAAGAAAAGTTAACGGCAATAATATATTTTCGTATTTGTAATATTTGATATATTATATATAAATATTTATCTCAACTTCGCTTCAAATGAATCTTTATTATGTCGAAATAATGAAGTAAATTTGTAGAAATGTAATTTTGCTCGATAAATACTAATTTTACAAAACTTTGAAATGCCATTAAAAATACGTGTATTACGACCTCTTTGATGCAATTCACTTCGCTTGATAAAATATGTGAAAAATTTCACACAATCCCCCGAGGTCCACTTATACACAGCGTGTAACTTTGTGTCTGGCAGCCTGGTCGGCGGAGAAACAAGAACATTTCGAAAATATATTACGAGGTCGTAAGCGCATAAACGTGGAACGCCAAGTATCGCGAGAATTAATAAACTCAATAGCCGAGATATTTTATCCGAGAATGGTGGACGAGAGGGGGAGAAAGGATGTGGGATAGCGATCTCTGGTGTAATGAAGCAAACGAGCGAGTTCGACTCTGAGGTATACAAGAATATTTTATTCGTCGAAAGTAACAAATATACAATTCTCTCAAATAAATCGTCGGTTTAAATCATGTCTGTCGTAATTAGCTCGTCTTTTTTTTTTCTTTCTCTTTCTCTCGTTTTTTCTACGCGACCGGTCCGCCGCTCGTTCGCGAGCGACGCGCGCCACACACGGCGACTCGTCGTCGTGGTCGTCGCGTGTTCTGCCCCTCGTGCACCGCGATCTGTATTGTCGACACGTGTGAAAAAGGATAACGGCGTTTTTCACGAAACTCTGATGCAACAACAACGGAAGTGTAGCGCCTTACGAGAAACCGAGGTAATTTTGGCACGATTCTCAGAGGAAACGAAAGAATATAACCCACCCACCCCATGTGTGTGTGTGCGCCTCACTCGTGCTCGTTCGATAACGATAATCGACTGAAACGTACATCGTCGCGTCGAGGTGTCGCGAACATCGCGATGTGTGCGTCCGCACGAACCTTATATATATATATATACTCTTGGTGTGTCCTGGTATATCTCTATATATATTTATATAATATATATATATAACATATATATTTATATATATAAACATCCATCTCTAAATGGATATATCTCCATCTGTGTCTGCGCGCGTGTCTTTAGTACGTATGTACACGTGTATCCATCTAAATGCACAGTTCCTAATTACGTCGTCACGGTTATATACGGTTCCCCCCTTCCTTCCTCTCTTTCTTTTTTCGCTCGGCCACGGACCACAACCCGCGCGCTCCTTCCCTTTCTCTCTCTTTCTCTCTCCTCCTCAGGCTGTCGGCTGAAGCATTTCTCGGCTCGTGGTCCTTGACGCGCCCGAAGGATCTCCTCTTGAAGGGGGATCTCTCCGGGCTTTCCGCTAACTCACGTTTATTTACAGAGTACCGACGCGTTTGTCGCGCACAATTAAGGCAGTGTTTCGATGGGTCCGTTTGGAGTTCTCCGGTTCTTCCGCTCTCCGTCCTCTCCTTGTCCCCCTTCGTGGTGAGCACGCTCGCTCGTACTCACTCACTCACCCGCTCACTCCGCCGATCGTCCCCCCCCCCCCCCCCCC